ATTTGGGCATTTTACAAATCAAACTGAAGAAACAAAAAACTGTTACAGTTACAGTTACAAGCCTGGCAATAGATGGTTGTCAGTTAGCAGCGAGTAATCTCACAAAAAAATTGTTCTTTTTAAACCGAGAAGGGGTTATATTATGCACTTTATATCGAGGGGTTATCCAATGGTCACAATGTTGTACACAGTTACTGTCAATACTGCACTGCCTATACTCCCCACATATTCCTCCAATATTGCTGATATACCTCAAGTACTGATTTCGCCTTACAATCATCGGATCGTGGCCATGTACACGGCGCATCTAAATTTTTGGTTAAAAATTCATTTTCACTCATACTCTACTTATATTACCATTGCCACAATAGATTCCATAATAAGACTCCAATCCTTTAGGTGAATCCAATGCATCACCCCTTGGTAGATTTAAATAAACAAAAATATCTAATCTACCAAAAAAGTTACGGCCCTGCCAAAAGGCGGCTGTCTCATAAGACCGAGTCCTCCCATAAGAAAAATTGGCAATTTTAGAACAGGAACAGTAACGGGTAAGACAAAATACACTTATAGGGGCTTGTGGATTTGGAATATTAATGTATATTTTTGGAAAACCTCCAACATTTCATTAGATACCCACATAATATGGTACCGGAGACGATGCAATGAATTGAATGCAATCCGTAGTCCAGCATGTACTTGGGGAAACCACGAAGTTACACCAACTTTTTCATACATCAAGAGGATCAAGAGATAAGTTCCGCAAAGTTAGAGTACCAATATCGAAATATCATGCAGTGTATCTCAGCGGTTTTTAAAGAAACAGACTTGTGGCTTTCGCGACAATGTGCGACTTTTTCGTGAAACTTTTAATACCCCAAACAGACTCAATCTAGCTACGCTTGTTTCTGAATACAAGGTGTAAACGAAAAGTTTACCTTTTTGGGATGGTGTCATCTTACAACCCATGTAATATAGAAAAAATGCCTTATTAATTGCCTAAAAATTGCCACTAAACCTTTCAGACAACAAAAATTCCACAATTTTAACAATAGATTACCTTATTTTTTCTAAAATTCCCTTATTTCTACAGAATGGCAAAATTTCACCTAATTTCAACTATTCTTTCATATGTCCTATAAAAATTAGTGTTACTCCTATTACACGGGAGAACTACCTACTGTGCCCAATAATTGGCTTTTTAATTCTGGCAATGGCCAAAGGGTTGATTACAACCCCTTATTTCCTCGACCAGTTTCGTTTACGAACGTAATTACCGCATTAAATAAAATTCAAAATGAACTGATATTCTATGGAAAACACTCAACGCAGGCTTTAACGATAAGAGATTACGAGAGGTACATGTTTGCGGTACATCTGGCGTGACGTAGTTACCGAAATGATCGAATAACAAGTATGATTCATGATTTCGCGTTTAGCAAAGTGCAAAATTTCACCCAAAATGTGACTTATTACGCGAATTCGTTGAAGAAATGCCTAATTACACTAATAACATGTACTTTTTCAAAATTAATAACTCGATATCAATTTTGAAACCTATTAGCAGGTTTTTTCCTAGTTTTTTTATACCCATTGGTAAAAGACTATCCCAAAATTGCTATTTGGCGATTTTCAACGGTAATTTCGATACTAGTGACCATGTATATCAATGTTCAGACAAAAGTTTCATAAACGCTTACCTTAATTTCATTTCAGCAAGATAAGAGGAGAATTGGGCACCAAGTTCCAGTACAAAAACTACACGAATTGTCCAAAAACCAAGAAAAACGTAATTAAACGGCACCGCAATTATTCAAAACGCGCTTAGTAAACACGACGCGAACGCTTGTAATACGCACAAATGTAGATAAGAAACGTACAGGTACAAGTTTAGACACATGTGGTACGACTGCGCATTTACCTAAATCACCTAAATTCACATTTCGTATTCATTTTAAAATCGGCAATAAATAACGGACAGTTTTGCAAAGTTCCTTGAAAAAAAATTGTTATAATTTCGGCGTTTGCAGTTTAATAAAATCCCCATTAAATTTCTTTAGGTACAAATAAATGTAACCCAAAAAACCTATCCAGTGTGTTTAGGCCCTAGGAAAGGAAAATATTTGAACCTCGTTAAACAAAAGATGGCCACATCGAAGAGATTCTTGGGCTGCCTTGGGTGAACAATTGTTTGCACCACAAATCCTAATCTGATGCTGAGATGTTAAGGGAAAACATTAACTTGAACTCGCTTCATTTGCAAATCGCCGACGCCCAGTCGTGTTTTCTACTGGAGGATTTTACACGAGTATCTTGGGATGACAAAGATTGCGTGTACGCGTAGAGACCTGTGAACAATTCTTGATGCGCTATGGAGGTGAACCAGATTTAATTAGCAATCGACTTGTCACGGGCAATGTATTAAGGCTCCAGCCATCCCAAGAAGTTTAAAGTCACTCCTGCAGGGAAAACTATGGCAACCATATTTTTTGACTCTCAGGGAATTTTGCTGATTGAATATATACTAGGGTTTTGATTCCAGCTTGTTTAAAAAGATGTTTCGCCTTCTACCATCCAATTTTACACATACTCCATCTTATGTTAAACCTTCATTTTTTCCTGACATTTTATTTTTTTCCGCCATTAAACAACTGTATCATTTCTTGGCGGGATAGATAGTGTATGATTTCTAATTACAAGTTAAAAAATTCACAGATTTCGCAATCCAAGCAACCATCGGAAACATTGGAAATGATAAAAGCATAGGACAAGGTATTTAATATGAGAACATTTTGTACATTTTGTTGTACAAACTGCCTATTTTAGATAGTTTTACGTAGAATCCAGTAGCGTAGTTCCTAGTTTCCGAGATCTATGTGGGTTTTTTTTAATGCAACACGCTGTATATCTTATCGTCAATTTTTTGCATTCTTTTTTCTGGTAATATACCTAAATGTATCACAACCTATATTTTTAGCGCATTTTTGAAAAAAATACGCTATTATATTCGTTTTAGGCCGGCTGTCCGCGTTAGATCTCCACAACTACAATAGCTAGAGAATTCAAATTTTCACTAAAAGCTTTCTGCTATAGTGTAGATGTGCAAGCATGGAGTTATTTTGTGAGATTTTGTTTATATGGGTAGGTCTATAATTTTACCGTTAGATAGCGTACCAGTATAAAAACTTATTATTTACTTTGCGATTTGTTTTACAAAATGAAGACGTACCGTCAATTGACTTAATGAATAAATTTTAAACTTCGCTAATAAAATCTGACAAAATGACCAAAAATGCGCTTTAATCATGAATATGCTCGCAACATGGATTTTAATTATAGCTACGAACCAATTTAAAGAACTTATTTTTACGGTTTTTGAATAGTAGGCCATGGAGATTTTGTTTTGTTTATTGTATCCATGGTAACTAAGGCAGCCGATACTAATGAATAAAAGCACAGAATTTATATGGCGTCAGCACAAAATGAGTACAAAATTAAAGATAAATAGAATGCCACTCGCAACATGGATTAGGTGTGAAGTTGGAGTCCCATTCCAAAAATTTAAATGACTTGAAAACCATAAGAGCACAAACCTTTTATGATACTGCCAAAAATAGCCCAAAATGAGAACAAAATTATTGTATATTAAGAAATCGGATACTTTGATATCGGTACTTCACCGACCCCAAGAGACTAGCGTAAAGATTTTCATTTCTCCATTCGGCAGTTGCTTGCAACATTGTAACCACAAAATCGAGATTCGAATCGAGCTCTCATCTTAATTTGCATTTCTTTTCCCCCAAAAACCCCGACTGCAGACAACTGACGAAATCTAAGCCGGATCGCAATGAGCGTTACGATAATGGCATAGTTAAAGCGAATTCAAACTGGGGAATCGTCGGATAATGCCCTTACAAACCTACGTTAGTATTAGGTTGGGGTTAATAATTAATACAATTTCCGTGCAGTTATCATGAAACACCAATGCGGAGTGCATATATTTCAGCGAAACTCTGCAGTTTAGCTAATGTGCCCGTGTACATGTAAGCTATTACCGAGATTTCTACATTAATTAATTTCATTGTGACGGCAAAGGCTATTGAGGATTTGTATTTAACGTGAATTGGAGCGAAATGTTATTAGCGGGAGAGATTGTTTAGATTAAAGTACAAAAACGAACAAAGAACATTGTCGCAAATCAACCGAGTTTCGTCGTAAATGCGGTAACAAAACGCGAATTAATGAGCACACATGTGTCAGGTATTCTGCTAGAAATGCAGAATGTCTGGCTTGTTAGAAAGGTAAAATGTGGTTATAATTTACGCTTGAACGGAAGTAAAGGTAATATCGCATATATTCCATTGAAACTGAAGCTTTTATGGTAATTTTTGCCGGAAGACACAATTTCCCTAAAGTTATAACGTTACCAGTTAGCGAGGCTCATACGGAAAAGAAAATGATCATCATGATGCCAGTCGAGATGTGTATTAGCGCCCTTTCGAAATAGAAAAAGTGCTTCCCCAAACCAAAAAAAAAACATCTATATATCTAATAAATCAAGCCAAAGACAGAGATATATAACATCCAAGGATGGGCAAATCCACAATCCTGTTACAAATTTAAGATTATGTCGATATTGAATTATACCGCTTCCTACTTTTTTCTACATACGGCTTTAGCCCAACGTATTGCTTTTTTTGTACGATAAAACGTCATTATCTCGAATTATTACTCTGATTGATGCTCTTGTTTTTCTATCCGCCGTAAGTTATTGTTTACGCTTTCCTAACACGTTAAGATCATCCAAGACGAATTTGTATCGTGGAACAACAAGAGGGCGAGTCTAATTATAAAAGCTTGTGAAAAATGAGCGTCGAAATTTTGGGCCCCTTCCATCTTTCTAAGTTAATCCCAATCCGGATAATTTATGCGCGCTTTTTTCTCCCTCGCAAACTTTTTCGAACTACTGGCCGACTTTGCGAAAATGATAAAGGACTTACCTCTGTGTCGATTCGTTTGTTTGTCGAACATAAGCATCGCATCTTCAATCTGCAACAAAAACGAATCATCAAAATCACGCCTTGCATTAATTAATAATATCGCGGGGGGATGCAACCTCATCTACCTTCAGAGATCATGCGAGGTATAGTACACGTGTCGGACATCATCACCAAGGGAGAGAAGCGCCATAATTAATTCAGCGTTCTCGAAATATGATTCATCTATATTTAGGGGTTCATTACGGGCATAACGATACAATTTTTGTCGATCAATTAAAATTCATACAAAAGGGTAATTGACCCCTGATAAATCGGACGAATACGGCTTTAGATGTCAATTGCCGCGCTTCCTATTTTTCTTCTACCCCTGCATCGTTTGTAGTTGCCCGATTTCTAATTGAAACTCTGTGTTTAAAGCATGTTACGTTTTCAAAGGTGCTTTCAAGAACAATTTTAATAGTTAATTGGTGCTACACTTGCCACATGAAAAATGAGTAAAAAAATTGTGTGGATTATACTTTGTAACCACGCAGAGTACAGATTTCTGTAACTTTTGATCTTTTTTAATGAATCTTACTAAAATACTCTAATTCTCTGAAATGTCATGAAGCTTTAACATTTTCACAATCCCCCGAGTTTTCTTACAAATTTCGAAAGGTTTAAGATTTTTTTTCAGAAGAACAAACGGAACCAATGAAACCCTTTAAAATCTCCTGAAACGCTTTTCAACTCTTTCTGAATATGATCCTTCCCGAAATTTGTTGCTTTTTGCTCTGAAACACTGTAAAACTTTTTGATCTTTTCTCTGCAAATGCAAATTGTATGGAATTTTTTGAAACTTTCCAAAACTCTGTCAAATCCTCCAATGTTCTTCACATTTTCTGAAAGTGCTCTTTGAAAAACGTAAATCCTACCAAAATTCTTGGAAACTCCACTGTTTGAAATGTCTTGATACCTGACACTTTCTGAAAGCACCTTCTGAACCTTTTTGACTTTCTGTGAAATTTTGTGAAGGGCTAAAAAATTATTACATTATGTAAATTCAACGTAGTTTTTGAAAAGCAGAATATGTAAGGATGTGTTCGTCAATGCACTTCTTATACCTCCCGGGTCTGGGATCCTGATGTAGCAATTTTGGATTAACACCCCCCCCCCCCCCCCCAACAAAAGCTTCAACATTCATTGTTTACTATCATAAGATTTTCATACTAGGGCGGTATGGCTAACTCCCCAGACCCCGATTCCACATTCTCCCACAAAACGTTCACCCCTAAGGACTCAAATTCGATTCGAAAATCACTGCAATATTTTGGAAGAGAATGGATACCGGCGGGTCTAGGAGGTATGGAATACTTGGGGCAATACCCCTAGGAACAAAGATTCAACATTCCTTTTTGCACACAAAATACTGGGATGATATGGCTGAGGGGTATTCCAAACCTCCCGGTGCTACGTGCTCCCACAAAACGTTCACCCATAAGGACTCTCATTGGATGGCCCCTTTCTAAAAATTATAAAGCGCTAAATATTTTGGGCGGGAATGTAGAACTGGATGGTATGGAATACTCCCCCAGCAATACAGATTCAACATTACTTTTCTTTTACTATCATAAGATTTTCATGTACTGGAGTAAAATAGCTGGGGAGGTATTATAATAATATAATAACGGTCTTTATTGGTTTTGTTTTAGCTAGCCACGAAAAATACACTGCCTGGGGCGAGATTCAGGAGTAGAAAGTCTACCCCTGCTCTTCCATCTAACCCATAATGATTCCACTTAATCGATAATGTTGTGGTTATTAGTAGGTAGAGATATAACACGGATTTTACAAGACATTGAATCACAGAAAAGAAATAAAAATATTAACAATAAGATAAAATAAGAAACAAAATTGAAAAGTGCTCTAATTATTATTGCCGTAGCAACTTCGAAATAATGCGAGTGAAGGATATTCCGTACCGATTGTTTTGGTGTATTGTCGTATTTGAAAAGACAGTCTGTCTTGTTTAATTGTAAAGTTGTGTAGAAAAAAGCAATAAAGAGTCTTTAAAGAATTTCTTTACGTCGTGATGAAAGTGAACAATAAATCGAGTTAGGCGAAATCTTATTCTCACGTTTACCTAGAGGTTTACTCCGAGTGTTGTGGTTATCGAGCATTTGTCGCTGAAGAGAATCCTTTCTTTAACGTCTTCAAGTTATCAGTTAAAGGGAGTTTTTCCACCATCAAAGGGTGGGTCATTAGTGTGTGAGTGGAAGATTGTGGGTTTATTAACGCGCATATTTAAAATTCACTGTCGAGGCATGTTGAAGGACCTAAAAATATTTTCAACGAAATTGCAGTTGTTATACAGGGTGATGTATATCAAAGTTGCATTTTTTTAAATAGAACCCCCTGTATATTATCCGGCAAATTAAATAAGTGTAATTAGCGGTAGCTGATTAAATGAGGTCCAGAAACAGCATCCGATTAAAGGTCCACTCAAATCGACGCATCAATGCGGGAACGGAATCGGGAGCGGGACGGACCCGGGATATATTTGTATAGCGCGATATGCCAGTATGCATACCGATGCAGCGTAATACCGTAATTAATTATAACGGGGGATATTGTTTCGTTTTCCTGCATTTACTTTCCAGTAGACACCGCTAATTTATTTGTTTTGTGTGTAAATAAATAATTTCTGTTAAAATAGAACACCCTGTATATTTTCAGTTGTTTTAATGTCATTTGTTAACCTCTGCAATGAAAGCTATTCATTTATTGATTTTTTCCGAGGCGCAAACCAATGTGCAATTCTGGCTTAAAGCCTCTTGGAATTCGTGGAATTCTTTTGGAGCCGATTTTGATGAAATTTTTGAGGGATTTTTTATGTAAATTCGCGTTACTTTAGCCGAAACGGCGCGGCGGCGGCGCCTGGGAAGTTCCACTGAGCGGCTGGGGAGCGTGCTCGAAGAGATGCGCGTGCGCTTAAAAATTCGCGACTCGGAGATAGTTCGGGTTGGGGGGAATACCGGGCACAACTTCCATGAGGTGGAGAAAATTCCTTTGCCGCCCGTGAAGGCAAAAAAAGGAAAAATTTGTAGCTTGAAAGCTACTATTAGCGATTTCACCAAGCTTTCAGAGATCGTGGAGAACGCGGAGGAGGGTTTTTCTGCCGAAGTGCAATTAAAAGTGATAACTTCGTTTGGGAGCAACGAAACACGGACCGTCGCTCTCGAAGAGGGCGATTTTCGAGTTTTACAACTCCGGGCCCCGTATGAGGGGGAAAACGGTCGTGCGGATCTACTTCCGAGTTTTTTCTTTCAGAAACTGAAGGTGACTTGGAGAACACCGCCGTAATAAAATTTCTCCCAAAGGTCTGAAAAAGTCACGTGAGCGATTGGCAATGTTTTGTGATGACATCACCACCATCCACCACGAAGTTTGCCGAACGAATTTGTATTTTGAAGTTTAGAGATGAATTTGAGCAATAATGTTAATTCGAGTAAAGGACCTCGGTTTGGTAATGAAAAAGTTGGATTAGTGATACAGGGTATTCAATCAACAAGTTTCTGAATTCCAAAGCACCATAACTATTTTTTTTTCAAATGGAACTACCACTAATTTATTTGCAATTCGGTAGTCTTTTTGTCTCCTCTTCAAATTTTACAAGGGATGTCATGTGTCCCAGTAGTTTGTAACGGTTAGTTTTGACTTTAGGTGTAGGGATTTTGTCAAGTATGATTTTTACTCGCAGTATGAATTTTGGTTAGCTTTCGGAATCTGCACGATTCGAGATATTTGCTTGTCATCTAAAGTTGTTGCATGATGGGAATTGGTTAAAAATCGAGACATCCGTTTGGTTTGACTTGCAGAAAACAGATTGGGGAATGTCTTGGTGTCTTTGGCGGGATTGGATCAGTTTTTTCATCGACTTATGTGGATTTGGAGCCGCGCGGTAATTTTTTCAGTACAGTTGAGCGAAATCCATTTAAGCCATTCGTTTCTTCGTAAAGGTAAGGATTATTCCAAATTTGTGTTTGATTGTTTTGATGGTAAAAAATCGAGACGTCCGTTTGGTTTGGCTTGCAGAAAGCAAATTGGGGAATGTCTTGGTGCCGTTTGCGGGATTGGATCAATTTTTTCCATCGATTTATGTGAATTTGGAGGCAGGCGGTTGAGTTGAGTGAATAATTGGGGTTTCTGGGTGTACTTTTAGCGGCTTTTAAGGCATCGGAAGTATTAGTGAGTTTGGCGTAATAGTCCTAGAAAGTGAGTGTCCCCCACGTGCAGATGGCGAGTGAATTATGCAGGCCATCGTGGTGGTCGTGTTATTGTTGTTGGGCTATTCTTAGGTAAAACCCTTTGCTGATATCCGGATACATTTCTAGGCTCGGAGAGTGCATAATGTGCATGAGCCTAGGACCCGGTCTCGGGTAGTTCCCGGTGATTATTTATCGCTGAGTGACCTATTCCCTCGAATAGGTCCTGGTGTCCAATACCCAATACGAAAAATAAAGACTTCATTGCGAGCAAAAAGAGTTCGGGGGTAAGTTTGACCTGGAGATGTGTTCGTAGGGAGGGCAATGACAGACATAGTTCGATCTAGTTGGCGAGGGTCCTAGTCAGATGGCCGAGGCGGGATGCGTATCCAAAATAAATGTGTAAACAAATATAGCAAACGAGCTCTTGGGTATCGCTATAGCCTTGGCATTGCGTATTATATGACTAAAGCTATTTGTAGTAGATTTTGAAAAATTCATGCAAGGTTCATACATAACTAACGGAGATGTCAAAAGGGCTTTATTTTTTAATCTGCATTGCCAATTCACGAACTTCGATGTACAAATTTGATAAATGATTCACCTGCAAAATTTCATTGTAATTGGTCCATTCGTTTTCGGGATATCGTGCGGACAGACGGACAGACATGGCAAAATTCTCTAGGAGCTCGTTAATAATACACGTGCGCACGACGTAACCTTTCTCAAATAGGTATGAATTCAATCTTAACCCAACGACGTATTCCACCCCGATCGCCAATCGAAGTGTTCGGAGCTCTAGGGG